AGGTTCGCTACTTCTATGTCAGGAAAAGATTTTTGGACAGAGATCTGTAACTGGAGCACATCGACGGTATCAATAAGGTACCTAATCCACTGACTCTCTGGAGAGTGTTAGAATCGAGATGCAACGAGGAAGAATTGGTGTGGAGAAGATTATATGTTCACAAAGTGTGAAATATATTATATTTTGTTTATTTTTGATTGCATCTTATTTATTTTGGAGGAATTATTAATATGAAAAGAAAAATACAGACAAGTGGCACCATCTAGTTTCGTGTTTGAACTGATAGTCTTGGAAAGGGTAGGGAGTTCTGTGCCAGTTCGTGCGTGTTCGCATTTTGTTTGGTATGTATGTCACTGAAGTTGTAACATTGTAAATCCACTTTTAAGTAAAAATTAAAATTTAACAAGTAAATTATCATAAATGAAAATTAATAGCAAATAATAATAATAACGCAATTGGTAATAATAATAGTCATATGTGATGAACACTATGATTCTTTCAGCATTCACAATTAACTACCAGACTATTGATTTTATCTCGTCAAAGATAAATTAAATATGTGTCGTAAGCGGGAGAAGTATAATGCGTATCTTTAGTTGATTATGATTTTGATCAACTTCCCTTGATCAACAACACATCTGATCAACATCAACTTCTCTTTATTATATACTGCGGTTCAGTGACGATTGTGAGAGCAGCTGGGATGGACTCCAAAATGCGAACTCATGACCACGGAAAACTGCAAGTGCCATTCCAAAGTAATGGCACTTATTAATTAACTATCATGTCAAATAGCTTAGGAATGTCTTAGAAACTAGGAATTGGACATTGGTGAAATGTGGATAAGGGCTCAGAAGTAGATGACTGACAAAACAGCTAAAGAAGATAATGCAGAGTTAATGGCTATGTCAATCAGGTAATAGCTATGTTAACTTCTGTCATCATCTTTTTTGCTATTTTAAGGTCGCACCAACTTGTAGGTCATTAGCAACCACTATTCAGTGTAACGGTATGGTAACTATGAGGATGACACGATATGATGATAATAGGGGTGTGACAGGACGAACACAATACAACCATGCCCGAGGCGGGACTCGAACCCGCGATCCTTCGATCCGAGATCGCTACGGCACTACTGCCTTAGCGTTCTGTCATCTTGTATTGTAGGATCTCTTATTATTGCTCTCAAATAGCTTAATAACTTCTGGTGGGTACAACTTAATCTTGTATAGTCAATATAGTCCAGTTCCAGAGACTGGAAACATCTGACATCTTAGTCAGACGTTTGACGCCTTCACATCGGCATAATCTTGATTAACTGCATTCAGCTTTCCGTACAGAATCTTGCTCATCAACGTTCTGTTTTTGCTGTCCGATATATTTATTTCCAGAGGTCTCAATGATGGTATAGTCGTCGGAAGAGTGATAGGGCATTGCATTTCCGAGGTCGCGATGAAATTTGGATTTTCCCGTACGACCATTTCATGTGTGTACCATGAATATCAGGGAATCTGGTAAAACATCAAACCTCCGACTTAGTTGCGGCCGGTTGTAAAAGGTCGTTTAAGAACGGGACCGACAACGACTGAGGGTGGCAAAAGTGCAACTCTTCCGCAAATTGTTGCAGATTTTAATGCTAGGCCATTAACAAGTTTCAGCGTGCAAACCATTCAACAAGACATTATCGATATCAGGTTTTGGAGCCGAAGGCTCACTTGATGACTGCACGACAGAAAGCTTTATTCCTCGCCTGGGCCCGTCAACACCAATATTTGACTATTAATGACTGGAAACATGTTGCCTGGTCTGACGAGTCTCGTTTTACATTATTTTGAGCGGATGGGCGTGTACGAATATGGCGACAACTTCATCAATCTATGGACCCTGCATGTAGAAAGGGAACTGTTTAAGCTGGTGGAGGCTCTATGCTGATATGGTGGTGTGGGGAGAGTCAGTTGGAGCGATATGGGACCCCTGATACGTCTAGATAGGACTCTGACAGGTGACACGTGCGTAATCACCTGCAGTCATTCATGTCCATTGTGCATCCCAAAGGACTTGGGCACTTCCAGCAGAACAATGCGACAGCCCGCACGTCAGAATTGCTACAGAGTGACTCCAGGAGCACTCTTCTGAATTTAAACACTTTCACTGGCCACCAAATACATTACATTACGTAGACTAGACATTACCAACACTATACATTACCTAGACATGATCATTATTGAGCATATTTGGGATGCCTTGCAACGTGCTGTTCAGAAGAGATCTCTACCCCCTCTAAGCGTTTGTGGACAGCCCTGCAGGATTCATGGTGTCAAGTACCTCCAACGCTACTTCTGACTTTCGTCGAGTCCATCCACGTAGTGTTGCGGCACTTCTGCGTGCTCGCGGGGGCTGTACACAATATTAGGAAGGTGTACCTTTTTTTAGTGTACAGCAAACTCATTCACTGTATGAAACTATATAGTATCTCTCCGATCCCAGTGTGGAATGACACGGAGCATCGGACTGGGACCGTCGCACCAGGAGAGAAGGCTCAGGGCATCAACTGATGTCACTGCAGTGCCTCTGAGGTGCCCCCGGGAGGTTCTAGGTTCGAGTCCCGACTGTGGCAGGATTTTCGACACTAGTCAGCTAGGTCGGATTCAGTTGCTGTGTTGAGAATTCTAGCAGCCGGCTGCTCTGATCAGTAGTTTTCCGTGGTTTTTCCGATCAACGCCAGGCGAATGCCGGAGTAGTACCCTAACGAATGGACCGCGCGCGATCTTTCCTTTTTATTTTTTGTTCTGAGCTCACCCCTTACACACACTTACACTAACATACACTACACTACTACACGGAGACCGGTCGGGAACTTGTCCCGGTTGGGGCGGTGCCCTGCTGGTTGGAGATACCTGGTTGAGGAAAACCCCGCTACTCGACGGTAGTTCGGCGCCGGACCTCGCCATACAGCGGGGGAAGAGCACCGGCACCTCCAGAGCAAAAACACACTACACTTATGGGACTAATGACCCTAGTAGTTGACGCGCCCGGAATCACTAACAATCAATCTATCGGCAACTTACGAATATACACTCTATTAGCCAAAAAATTGTTATTAACACTTCATTTTGCTGAAATAAAAATATTTGTTTTCACGGAATTTTCTACGGGGGTTAACTAAACCACTGAATCCCCTGCATGAACCGCCACTGAGGGGCGGCATATGTGTTGACTGCTTTGATCAGATTCCCGCCAACCAGAGTTGCCTTCAGAACTCGTCTGACATTCCAGCAAACTCACCAACAACAGCCGATAATTCTCATTTAACTGTTGAACTATCAACACACCTTCCTTATTTGACACCCAATAATTTTAGGTCTCATCTGCAGGCATTATTATTTTTAAGCTGAATATCTTCTATTTGGAATCAATTATCCTACTCTTCACCTCTATTTTAATTCTCTTAACATTTATCAGTTCCAAATATATGAGTCAAATCTGCTGATCATAAAAGGATAAAAGGGAGACAAAGGAACGACAAATGAAGAATAAGTCACGAAGTCCGCAATGAAAATTTTGTTAAATTAGAAAATCAATAAAGAGACCGTGAAAATAGCTCAAATTATATAGAATGGAAGGGCATCAGAGCCCAATGGTTTGCAAAATATCTGGTTAAAGTAATTCATTCAAACTCAAGCATCTTGCCAAGGTTACTGTGGGTTATTAGAAAACTAGGAGTTTTTGTCTCCGTCCTTTACTGTCTTCATCACCTACACACTCCTCAAAGAGATCATGGGCTGAGTGAATCCAGAAAAATGCTGCTCTTAACTTAAACACTTTTTTTAACAACTCTGCCATGCATTCCTTTTGGTTGGCATATGTTGGAGAATTTGTATTTTAAACAAAAATCAAATTAATTGGTTATATAGGTATTGTTAATACAATTTTGACAGAAATGGAAGTCGGTGGACTTTGTTGTAAAGTAAATATATGATGACTACTGGAGAAAAGGATGATGCTCAGAAAATGTAAATTTCAAGAAAAAGGCATTTTTAATTTAAAAGACTAAATTAGTTAATTATATAGTAATCAAACCCAATTTTTTATATTGTTTATTAGGTAACTTATCTGGTTCATGTTCATTATGTTGTTGGAATTAACACAAACGTGTACAACCATAAAAATTACATATATTTAAGTAAATCATACAAACTTAAGTAAAAAGGGTGAATGTCCATTAATTCTCAAAGAAGCCAATTAAAATAAGTAGTCTAGATTGAAACTATTATGAATGTTAGATTCATACACTGGCCTATTTAAAATGTTATAATCTGAAATGATATTTTAAACCAGTAGATACATACAGAAATTATTATAAATGAGGGAGTGCTTCATAATAGTTCTGACTATATACAGAACAGTTTTTTGGTAGTTCTGAATATAATTCAACTTAGCTTTTGAGATAGTTATTGGTTCTTCGCATGATATTTCATGAAGAAAAAAGCAGCCTTCTGGTTGAGATGTTTCTGTTTGGGCTTCATAACATTGTTCATGTTATTCCAGGTTTGTCACTGCAAGATCATTCAAAAGGGGGTGATGGAGGGTCTTCAGTTTTTGCAGTATATTTTTTAAAGGATTTCAATTGTTTCAAACCAATTAAGAAAAAAAACATGAGCTAAGAGTGTGAAGCCTGTAGAGCTCATTGTTGAATAACACTAATCAGCCAACAGCTGAGCAATCTGAAAGCAAGAGAGCTAAGGAATTCTCAATTTTTTTCTTTCCATCTTTCATTCTTCCATTCTTTCTTTCATTCTTTCTTTCTTTATATTTTTGAAAATTCATACCCATTCAATTTTTAGAGTAATTAAAAATTTTCTCTTGGAGTTAAGCTATGCAAATTCACTGCCAGTGCAGTTTTGATAAAAATTGGCCAACATCCTTTTTTCACTGCCCTCTTCAAATAGTATTTAACAAATATTGTTATCTTGTTAACAAAGATTTTTTCTTTTTTTCAGTCTGAGTACATGAACTCAAAGATATACCCTATTTTTCCTCGCTACACTATTCTTAAAGACATGATAAAGGATATAATGCATGACCCTGACTACATGGAAGTTTGTCATGAAGTGGATGTTTAGTGCTGTTGGAAATGAAGGTATTCTGTTTTGACAGAAGGTGCTGCACAAATATGTGCTGCATTACTGCAACTACACGCTTATTAATTTATTTAAATGATATAGTACATATATACCTATTGATAAAACCATCCAAAGTGAAAAGAAATGTCAATTGCAATCCTTAGGATTACTGTTGATGTTGATTGGGTTTGTGTAGACCTCATCATCCTCTCATTTAATAGCTATCTTCACTGATCTGTCTCTTTCTAAAATAGAGTCTGTTATTACTCTTGTGAGCTTGAGTAGTGTATTCTAAACTGATGCATTTACTGAACAATAATAATGTGATCAGAAGTAATGTAAATGGTTTGATCAGTCATGGGCATGGGACCTGACTAAAAGCAGCTAATCAGTAATTAATTTGTGAATAAAATTAAATGCATATCAACAATTTCACAGTACATCATTAAATAATAAAAGGGAAGTGTACAATTTACACTAACATCATTATTTTACTAATTCAAATAATAACAATAATCTGATCATTAACACCTAAATGATTTACATGGTCTTGTATAATGAATAATAATGGCAAAATTCTGTACAATAAATACAGCATACCTTGTATTTATATTGAAGAGAGATTATTTTTCTAACCAAGGTAATGAAATAATTTTTGTATTAATAATTTAAAGCTTGAATTATATTTTTCATAAGAAAGTTCAACACAGCATTCAAAAATTATAAAATATGCTTGTGATATAAAAATTTATGCTAAAGTGCATTGTTTGTATCAAAGATTTTTAAAGACATATCAGCTGTTGTTCCAGTAATTAACTTATTTTAATGTAATTGTAACTAGTTTTCAAACTATTCAGTCTCAAAACATTCTATTTTCTTCAATTCCTCTACCTATCTTTCTGCATGCATGTGTAAACAATGTGAGAGTTAACTAAACCACAACACTGGTGCTGCCACAAGGCATAAATTGTGAACCATAATAAAATCATAGTATAAATTCTTAACAAGATGTTATTGAAGATATGCAAATAGTGATTCTACTGTAAAAGTGCTTTAAACGATACATTTTAATGTACATTTGTTCTTCAATTTCTTTCTTTGTTGCAATGCATTGAATAATTTTGAATTGTCTTTCAGAGATTGTTAGAAACAATTTGGTGTAGGCTCTCATTTTATTATTTGCTGTTATGTTTTGTAAACATAAAAATGTTGGGCAGAAACGTTATGACAGATAATAAGAGACTAAAAATAGGGCAACAAAATGATTGAATTTAAATTGAATAAATAAAGATCTGTTGTAAATCATATCTGCCACTCAACTCAAAATCAAATAGGTAATAAAATTGCTTGTTTGGAACATATTCCAAAAAGTAAAATTGATACTATTCTTGGAGAAATAAATAAAGAAGGTTATAATTTACTACTGCATCTCTGTATTTAGAATGCTTTTATGGCTCTCATTTCATGTTTTAATTCAAACTGCAAACTCTATCTAGCTATAAAGTGAAGAAATGAGCTTTTATGACTATTGTTGAAATAAAATTGTTACTGTTCTACTAATATATCAACTGAGAAATAAAACTTTGTTGTGCCTTAATTTCTTGCATGACTAACTAAGCAATTGCACGTTTCAATATTATCATCCCTAAATGCACATGTAAGATTTTATTCACTACTCCTTTTCACTTTTTCAAGCATCCTCTTTTATTAAAAAAAACATCATTATTTTACCTTTGAGAATGTTGCTTTGCATGTTCAAGTAGTCAACAAAAATTGTGTAGTTTTTTTTTTTTTACATGATAAACATTTTTTAAAGCTATTCTCTTTTCATGGCATTAGTGATATTCATTATTACCACATATTCAATATTTTTTTAAAATCTTAACAAAAGCAATAGCAATAAAATTTGGAACCAATATTGTTTGTTTCATGTTTGGAATTTTGAAATTTCCCTGTTATTCATTTGTTTTCTTCAGTAATACACGTAATTTTTCATTAGGCATAGACATTTTAACAAGTTCCCGAGTATACCTTCTTAACTCTGGAAAAAGTCATAAAATGAGTTTCTTCAAAAGGATGTTCTTAACTTTAAATTGACTACCATCACTGTCATTTCTTTTGCATTTTTCCATGTGTTTCATTTACCTATTCTTTAAGAATAATTGCGTATTGATCTCTTGGAAGTGTGTTACAATTAGGATAACAGGAAAAAAATATTATTTAGACCTATAAACTATTGTAGAAATCAGAGGCAGCTCAAGAAGACTTTGATGTTAAATTTTCTAAGTATAACTTTTATTTGTAAAAAAATTAATTTTTGAAAAATGTCTTACCAATGCTAAGAATTAGTTTGTTTTATGAGTCAACCAATCTATTCAAACAAAAGTACAAGTTTGCAAAAGCAAACAAAAGTAAGTATCTGTCCAGAACTACAATGTTTTTTGCCATTGATCTAGTTTGTTGTAAAGCTGTAGCAACGGATGGGGTTCACATGAGATCATTCAGTGCCAGCCATATGCAGAGATACCATCTCTAGGACATCCCTCTACTGACAGGTGTGAGAGATTGTTATCTTATGGATCATAAAATGCTTTGCAATTGAATGTTTTTAATAGACATTATTAAAAAAGACTTAATTAACACTAATTATATTACTAAACAGAAATAATTGATGATAAAGATACAATATCACAAATTATCTTCAAGACTGCAAAAAGTACTTGAAATTAACAAAATTAAAGTTCATATTCTCCATATAATTATAACAGAAGCTGCCTCTAACATGAATGTTGAGTTTAATAGAATTTACCTTCATATTTGGAAATGGTAGATCTTATTTATTATTACTAGTTATAGGATGAATTACAAATGTCTAATTTTCTTTGCTGAAATTATTTCTATTGCTTTAATTTTATTACAGAAGCATATTTAAATCAAAAATATTGTTTTTATTCTCTCAGGAAAAGTAAATAGCTTAAAAACTGACTATCCTTTAGTGAAAACTAAACTCATCTCTAAAAGATTTTCTTCCGCTGTTTGTAGCTGAAACACCAAAGACTCACACATCTTATTCATGCATGCTGTGATAGTATTTTCCATTCTGTATTATCATATTCAAGATTTTCTTTTTTTGAACTAGTGGCTTAAGAATGCACTTGTCAGCCTATATTGGCAGGTTTATTTTCTGGCCTGTTTGTTCCATGAACAAATATATCCTATAATAAAATAATTTTCAAATATACTTTCTCCATATGCAGTGGAAATTTTAAAAATAAGGATGATTTGCCATCTTAAGGAAAATAAATTAATAAATAATAAGACTTAATATTCTACAATTTTTGCCCTCTGTTTTGCATCATATTGTCACTGAAGTCAATTAAAATGAGATTGTACCAAAATCATAATGGGTGCTAAATACTGAAATCTACTTTTTATAATGGTTGAAGATTGTTAGTTATTGCATATTGGAAAAATTTCACTACAGTTCACACGGACACTTTTCACCCATGAAAACTGAATGGCATTATCCTCATTAGATTTTTCCCGATAATTCTTCTCTATCCTATGATAAAATTTACTGAAAACCACATCCAGTGTTAGCACTTAATTACATACATGATACGTCCAACTGAATTCAACGAACTTCTATGAGGCATGATCTGCCATGCTATTAGAAGCATCAGAAACACCATAAAACTGTCCTTTAAGATCTCCATTTCTATATGAAATAAAAGATCCTCTCTTTATTCCAAATATAGTTACATGTTGGGTAAAGGTGTAGTAATGAACAAGAATATGTAAATATTTATCTTATGACTGGGTGTGGAAGCTTTAGTGAAATGTAAGAGCACAACAGAAAATGAATTTAAATAGGTTTCCTTCTGCTCCGTAGTGAAAATACAAATAAAACAAATTTCATTTTCAAATACAAGATTTCTGGAGCTAGTAAAATAATGTTATTCAAGAATAATGTTCTCAATAACTCATATAAATTCTAAGCACTTTAGTGATTTGAAGATTTTGGAAAAGTTACAAAATTATCAAATGACCCTTCCCAGCTTCTGTGTCTTAAGTAATATTGTAATCTAAAATAATATTTATTATCATTTCATATCAAATTCTTGTTTGACAATAAATTTCCAGGAGTGTAATCAATTTTATTTGTATATTGACAAATATTTATTTTTGAAAGAAACTTTCTTACATTGCATTTTTTTTTCTAGCAACTGACCTCTATTCTATTCATGGTTATTTTAAAGAATTGAATGACAGGACATTCAGTGACCCACAAAATGTAAAAACGTACTGTCAAGTTAACATACTTCTTGAAAATCTTTGATTATAACTCAGAATAGTAAGTATGTTGTTTTTAACTGTTAAGACTTTCAGGAGATCTTGTAATTTAACAAATTTGTTAGTAGAATGTTGAAGATTCCCTATCAATTTCACAATTTGTTTTGAGAAAATGAATCAACTATTTTCTAGAACTGTGATTAATATTGTGAACTTCCTTGTGAGCATTATCTTTCAGTTTTACATTTAAGTGAATAGGTGAGTGGTTGGTGATTGATATTTGATATAACTGTATATGGAGGAAGTAGTCAATTTCTTACCCTACATAAATAAGGCTCCTCATTCTTCAAGTAGAAATTAACAAAGTTTTATTTAAACAATATAATTGCAAAGGAATATCTTTAATTTTGCAACTCTTAAATTAACAAAATAATCTACTGGTTTCATGTTTCTATGAAAGTTTGCTCCCTCTAGTTTTGTATCATATCATCATATCATTAGCTCAAGCTTTATTGTGTTAAATTAAAAATTCTTAAATGTTTTAAACACATTTACCATAAAAACATTAATTGTATCCATCATGTTTTAAGACCTTCCTGAAGCCTCAGAAAAGGTTACTCTAAATTTGCATCCATTTGTTTGAGGAAAAAAATGTAACAGTTGTAAAACATTATAGTATGATTCCTTCCCAAAACCAAAATATTGCTTTAAAATTTTAGAAGAGGACAGGTAAATTATGAGTTACTGTTTTTTATTTGTCTTTTATATTTATGAGCCTCTTAAAGCCTGAGTGAATCTAATTCAAATATTTCCTGTTCTGAGATATTCTATGTTCAGTTGTTACAGAAAATTCAGCAGTACATTATTTTATTTTTATTTTTTAATGTATATTCAGACAGGTTTATTTCAACTCAAACTGAAAATACTAATTAATTTTATTCAGTTACATACTTGGTATAAGAGCCTAAATGGAATTACCTGACTTGTGATACAAAGAAATACAGGATACGAGTAAATATGAAATACAGTTAATAGCTCTGTATTTACATAATTTTTGTTTCTTATTATCAACATCAGCTATGCCACTTGCATTCACTGGTCTGAGGTCTTTAACATTCGCCTGTTCAATATTGTCTCGCTGATAATTTTGTCCACTTGGTAAACAGTTAATAAAACACTTCATTTTTCTCAGTTCACACAATTTTTGTTACTTATCAAAATTAATATCAGTTCCATTCCATGAACTGATTTTGATACCCTAGTCCAGTTATAGATTGGTTTAAGAGTCTAAATGAAATTACACCACATGTGAAATAAAAAGGAAAAGGATATGGTTTACAAGAAAATATGAAATGCAGTTAACAACACTATATTTACATAATTCTTTACACAAACCCTAAATAAATAGACAATATGGGAATGTGGATAATACTAGAAGTAAAAATTTTAAATTCATATTTAAAAGATACATTTCTGGAAGAACTTTAAAACAAATCCAATCTCAAACAAATTAAAAGAAACATATTGGACTATTTTCGAAGTTACAATTTTTTTCTTATTCATCAGTCATCGTCTACAACTTCAAATTGTCATTTCCATTCAGTAGCTCAATGACTTCATCAGAAGTAAGACAACACTTAAAGTAATGGTGATGTAAGCGGCAAAACATTTTCCATATCAGTTTTCTTCATTTTTGCAACTTGCCATGGTTCTTTGTACAGCTTTCTCTGGGGTATATACTACCAGGAGAAAAGGGGCTTCCTTTTCTTTAAATATCAATTTTGAAGAACAACTTGCAAAAAAGCATTTACTTGGAAAAATGTTCTTTAAAAAGAATCATGAATAGTTCACTCTTTCGGTACTAGTTGGTGAAAAAACAAAAAACAAACAGTTATAGGTAAAATGGTGTAACTCCCAACTGCACCACTTTGGCTGTCAACAGAAAATTGCACTGACAGCATAAACTAATTTCCTACATACAAAATTGCCATGTGATGTACAACTACACTCTGTGTTGTTAATAGAATACCACATGTTGAGTATGATTATGAACCTTAAAAAATATTTAAAAAATAGATTGACACTTCTTTGGCTTTAAAAGATTCATGTACTTCTATTCCAAATACCCTTCTTTTCCATATTTCTTAAACTAACAAGAGGGCTACAAACCATGTTTATCAAATATTTCACTACCTTCCACAAACCAGTAATTATCTTTTCATGTGATTATGTAACATTAATTTTCATATTTACATCTTCATGTTAACTATGTAATAGCCACAGGTCAGATCTTCTCAAATTTGTATATAATAAATTCAGAAGCACATTTTAGATGTATTTAATGCACCATTACCTTTTTATAGATTAAACTCTATTGTGAGCAAAATGGATACAGGTCCCACAAAATGAGCTAGTGTTCTTTGCTCTAAGATTTCATACAAGGGTTCTAGACACACTATTGACCACAATGGTGTGTCTAGAACCCTTGACACACT